AAGTGATCCAACATAATGAAGAAGTGCCGAAGAAACATGAACAAGAGGTGAAGATGAATGAGGACTTCACAGTAGAAGTTGATGAGGTTTACAAAGAAAGAGAGGTTATCACAGGTGGGATGTGGTGGTTGGTGTTTTATGAAGGAGCTGTCTGCTGCACTGTCTGTGAGGAGAACTGTCACTATCCTGGATGCACAATGGCCTGGTATCCTAAAGACTGTGAGGTCATGAAAGATGGCCGCTGTACTTCATGTACCAATAAGTGTCCTGTGTCAGATCATGTGAAAGTACAATGGAGATATGTGACCAAGACCAGGAAAGTTAAGAAGACTGAAAAGGAAATGAAAGAGAGATATGAAAAGAATAAAGCTGAAAGTGAGAAGAAGTTAAACTTGTTGGAAAATCTAAGACAGGAAATGGAAAAACTGAAGACAGAGAAGAATCAGCTGCTTGAAGAGGTCTACCAGCTTGTTGTCAGTCTGGAACAGATTGCCCTGAATGTCTGTTCTCTGTCCACTCATGTCCACTTGGACTTCCTTATTGAGAAGATGAAGGAGAAAGGAGACAGAGAGAAGGTCCAGAGTCTGGAGGGGATGAGAAGTCGAATGGACGAAGGAACCAGAGCAGGACTGGGATACATGCGGAGTCAACTAAGAGCATTGGGAAAGTAGTTAAAGAAGCAGAGGTGTAGGTGATCAGACAGCTTTGTAGAAAACTGCTGACAACCTGTTATTGCAACAAAACTAGTGCATTTTTACATGTCCCTTGTTTTCTGCATCAGATCATATATTTTTTATTAATTAATGGTAATTAATAATTAAGCAGTTGTCAATCAATAATTAATTAACAATCAGTTTATCATTAACACTCCTAAGTATGAGGCAATGTCGCATTTTGTGGTGCACAGAACAGAATTAGGCGACTTGGTTTCTCTGGAAAAAGAAAAAGAACTGTAACCAGAACCAGCTGAGGAAACTGTAATGTGACAGTACAGGTAGTTTATCTCTAACTGGACTTTGACATACTGCCTCAGCTGGTAACCAGCAGCCCCCACTCTCCTTCATATGTGGAGTGAACTGGGAGCCAGCTACCAGCAGCCACCCCGGTGGTCGATGCTCAGCCTACAAGGGGGACAGCAGCTCCCCCCATCCCTGATGACCCAGACTGACACTAGCATGTCACTGCCACAGACGCTGTCCCACATGTTGTTTCTCAGTGAATCATGGGACTGGTCTCAGACACCTCCTCTTATCTCTGTCTCCTGAATCCTTCTCTCAGGCTGTTTTCTGATTGGCAGATGGATCATTGGCCAAAGGTGATGGTTACCTTCTGTCCATCACTGATTGATTATCTCTGATGTGTCTTTATCTGATGGATGATTTGATTCAAGATTCAAGATTGTTATTTGCCATTTATGCATAAACAGACAGTCTAGTCATATAGGAATTCTTGTGCAGGGCTCTCCTGGAGTCAAGTAAAGAGTTAGAAGCCAAAAGAACGGGACATCTAATCTAAATATAAAGTCACATAAGAATAAAGTAGTAGATAAAATTGTGAATACAAAAGTAAAATAATAAATAAGATGGTGAGTTTCAAATATTGCACATAGTGGTATTGTACATGATCATCTACTTAGTAGGGTAATGAGGGGTTATTGCACATGTTTTTCACATTTCCTATTAGCCATCAGTCTTACTGTAGCAGGGGAAAAGCTGCTGTAAAGTCTAGTTCTGAGTGTGATGATACTGTCTGCCCTGCTGTGCCTGAGGCTGTAGGTGCAGTTTTTGTGTCTGAGCAGAGTGTGAGCTGGGTGGAGCGGATCCCTGATTATATTCTCTGCCCTTTTACGACAGCGCTGTGTGTACAGTGTGTCCATAGCAGGCAGGTGAGTCCCAATGATCCTCTCTTCAGTCTTTATGACCCTTTGAAGAGCCTTCCTCTCTGCCTGTGTGGTGTTACCATACCAGACCATGATGCCAGTAGTGAGGATGCTCTCTACCTAGTGAATGATTTGACAAGAGAGATTTCAGGTATTTGATTAATTGGAGGTTTCACTGCTGATAGATATGATCAGTGACATTTTGATTTCCTCTTGTTGTTTTTGTCCATTTTCATTGTTTGGACTTATTTTTACACTTGAATTACTTTTCATCACATTTTGAACCATTTCTTTCTTTTTATTTTCCATTTTTAACTTTATCATGTTTATGTTTGACTTTGACAAATATTTTTGATCTGCTTTGATTAAATGATGTTAATTTGCTAATGATTGATCATTAGTTTCAGAGTCTGATTGCTGATGAAGACTTGCTCATAGTTTATCAGTTGATTATTGATTTGTTTTTAAAATAATTCTTTGATTTTTGCTAAAGGTAGTTTTTGATTGATTCATTGACTTTTGGTTGATTACCTGGTTCATCGATTAACTGGTGATTTATTGGCTGGTTACTCTGCTCACACACAATGTATTATTCATGCACTTACATGTTGTATCATTTTAATGACAGTTTTTAGCATTTTAATCACAGGTTTGATCCTAAATAAAATCACTGAGTCAGTTGTTTGGCCTGTTTGTTTTATTGTTTTAATGTGAAGGCAGTGGGAGACCTTTACTGTGAAACAACCACAGGAAGTGTTGACTAAACTCTGTCATAAAAATACTCAGACATTTTCAGCAAAGCCAGTTTAAAACATGTAAAAACAGTCTGTGATGTGATGACTGACTTCGGGCTGCAACTCCAAAGTCATTGACCAGAGGCTGGAGCTGTTTTCAGCCGTAGGTCAAACATTGTATCAATGCATCAGCTGTTATAACCCAGTGATGTAATGTACAGCGATATAACACTCAGCCTTATGAGGACCTGAACTGAGGACACTTCCACTAACTAATGGTTTCCAGTGTTTTACTTTGTGGTTTCACTGCTGTTGCTGAAGGAAACAGCTTCAGTCCTTCTTCCATCAGTGAACAGACAGAGCAGCAGCTTTGAACAGACTTTATAAGAAGGACACACACACACATACCTAGACTTTACCACATTCTAACAAGGGGGAGCTCCGGTTCACACCAAATGGACAATAGGATCAAAAAGCTGTTGAATGTTGTACCTCTGTCCAGGGTGGATGTTGATTTTAAACAGTCCTCTCCTGTCGTCACTTCTCGTGCTTCCAATAAAAGAATTGGGCTAATTTCTAACAAATGGTGCCGTGGACCCGGATTGGAACAACTTCAAGCTAGTGTCCAACAGGGGACCGCAAAGTGAGATCAGCAGAGAACTGAGGATGCACGATCTACAGAAGTACTTCTGCAGACAATTTGCCGGCCAGCATTCATAAAAACAGGTAAGCAGAATACCTTTTCTATAATATAGAGAAATTCTGCACATTGGGCACTCTAAAACGCTGAATTGTCTGACTGAGGATCTTCCCCGATCAGTAAATTGTTTTAAAAGAGAAGTAAAAGCATGTTATCTTTGTCTGAAGCCTGATTACATGTAAAGTCTTAACCACATAACCTCACGTGAGGGAGAGTTCATGTGTCCTAGCCATTAGATCATTCAGCCTCATACAAGATGTAAAATCCATCACATAAATGGATAACTGTTATGTACTCACCCCTTTTCTTGGGGGATAGTACTAACTAATAAAGAAGACACAGAGATGGGTACAACTTGTGTGCTCGTGTGTTACTCTTCAGAACAGATAAACAAAAACTGTAGTGTACAGCATCACTCGGAAGTGTTCTTTCCTCAACAGGAAATAATATCATACCCTTTTCACAATAAATCTAACTACTCAGAAACGTCAATACATAACAATAACCACTGTGGATTGTCTTCCAAATTTAATAGGACATTTGATACTGGTTTCATAAAAGAAAATCTGGCGCCACAACGAGCCCCGTTGCCGCCAGAGTTAGCGAAGTCACTTTAAAAGTGAAGTTTGATTTAAAGTTAAATTATCAATGAGGACACAGGGACAAGTTTGTTGTGTTCCATATTTACTGTGGGGTGGTTTCCTACTTAAAAGAGATTTTCAACTGTCTTGAGAAACAGCATATCAAGCAGCTTCCTGTTTGAGAATTCCTGCACTCAATTACAGCTTGCAAGTAGTTCTGTTTGGGGGGCACTGG